AGATGTACTTTTTAGTTCTAGAATATCCTTTTTTTTTTTAATGGCTTTCATTTCTCAGCCGAGATTTCTCCCACATGTACATTTATTGTGACCGTATTTCCCTTTAAATACTTGAACATATTTATAATATTTGCTTTAAGATCCTCGTCTGCTAATTCTGACATCTAGTTCATATAGGATTTGATTTCTGTGAGCTGCCTTTTTTTTTTTTTTGACTCAGTCTCTTTTTCTGTTTATTTGTTCTGGTAGATTTTGCTTCTTTAATGGGCATTGTGGGTGGTATGTTGTAGATTTTGGATTATACCATTTTTTTCTGATGAGTGTTCATTTTTTTTCTGTTCTGGTAGACACTTAGCATGGCTGGGTTCAAACTCCCAACATTATCTCTCCTGTAATAGGTACCAGCAGAAGTCTCAACTCAGATCTTTCCAGTTTATTTGTTCTGGTAGATTTTGCTTCTCTAATGGGCATTGTGGGTGGTATGTTGTAGATTTTGGATTATACCATTTTTTTCTGATGAGTGTTCATTTTTTTTCTGTTCTGGTAGACACTTAGCATGGCTGGGTTCAAACTCCCAACATTATCTCTCCTGTAATAGGTACCAGCAGAAGTCTCAACTCAGATCTTTCCAACTTCCAGCTATTTCTTTTTGCTGGAAACTTTGGCATCTTCTCCAGATGAAGGGTATCCAATTTTTTAGATATAGTTTGTACAGAAAATTTGTGGCAACTTCCTTTCTGGGATTTCATCTTTTACTTTGCAGTGGCTCAGGAATCCCAAGATTTTGTCCTCTGGCTCCTCCAGTGACAAGACAGCAGATTTCTGCTTCAGTCCTGAGTGATCATTGCTGCCTGGGCGGATAATCTTACCCAGTACAGTTCCTTTCTTTTAAGGATGAGTTCCTTGCAGTTACTACCTACTTTTAATCATTCTCTTTCACCTTAATGTTTGTTTTCATATTTTGTCTGCAGTGTGGGAAGTTTACTTCAACATAACTTCATTATCCAAAGCAGAACATTACAATATCGAAGCATTATTTTAATTGTCAAAGCATCTAATATTGAAGGAATATTTTAGGAAATTGTAAAACACCCATTAAATAGAATATTGCAATACATATTAAAATTTCTAAACAAAACTTGGAAATAGAATAAGGATGTCAGCTGTCACTGCTACTCTTCACCATTAGACTAGAGATTTTAGCCAAACTAATTAGATAAGAAAAGAGATATAAAGATTGAGAAGGAAGAAAAATATTTTAATTAATTGTAAGTGAAATTATTACCTGCAAGAGACTCTACATACTAGTAGAACTAATAAGAGTTCGAGAAGACTGCTGAGTATAAAGTTAGCATAGAAAACTAATAGTTTTTTGGTTTTTTGGTTCTGCACATCAGCAGAAACCAATTTGAACCATAATAATAAAAAAGATACAGTTCACAATTCTATTTATATGCTACCTAGGGCTCTTTCTAACAAAATGTATGGAGGAAATTATAAGACATTTTTATGGACAAAAATTCAAATTATCAATCAACTCCCTCAGTTCAATCTGTAAAAATCAGCACAGTTCAATATAAATCTTAGGACATTTGTGGAGTTGGAACAAATGAAAAACTCACCTGGAATATTAAAGGTCCAAGCATTATCAGGACTATTCTGAAAATGGTCAAGGATGGTCACACAGTCACATAACTAGACCTAATTTTTAAAGCACTAATAAATTCCAAATGTGATGCTGGCTCGGAGTTAGATGTGTAGATTAATAACAAAACAGAAAAAAAGCCAGAAACAGATCCAAGTATATATAGAAACTTGGCATAGTGAAATAGGAAACAATTGGCTTGCCAGATAGAAAAAATATACATTACACCATACTATACACAAGAATAAATTCTAATTAGAATAAAGTAGGAAAAAGAAAAAAATTAGATCAGAATAGAAAAAAAGCTTAACTTTAGAAATTTTAGAATGAAATATAGAAAGTAACACTTTTGCTAAATAGGATTTAAGATTAAAAAGAAGTCATAAAGGAAGAAATAAACTTGTCTCAATCAAAAATTTAAATTTTAGTAAATATCATTACTACTTACATTCAGTAAGATATCATTAACATATATCATTAACAAAATTAAGTATATGTAACAAAGGCTTAATATCCAGAATACATAAAGAACTGCTACAATTTAATAAGAAATAGTCAACTCCACTTAAAAATGGGCAAAAGTTTTGAACCAGCACTTTACGGAGGAGTGCTGGTTATTTATGGCCAATAAACAGTTGAAAAGGTATACAGTATTGCAGTAATTGGGAAAATGACAAATTTAATAAATTTTTCATATCTTTTAGCTAGGCAAGTTTTTAATGTATGTATTTTATGTATCATGTATATATAAATTGGCATGCATATATATTTGCACAAAGTTATAGGAAAATTGGGACTGTCATATACTGCTGTTTGAAGTATAAATGGATGCAAGTGCTTGGGAGAGAAATTTGGTAATATATAATAAAAAATTTAAAAGATACATCCACGAGCTCCAGAAAATTGCTTTCTGGATTTATAACAGAAATTTTTGCATGCACATACCAGAAGACATGTACAAAGACATATGTTGCAGCATTGTTTGTAGAAAAACTGGAAAGTACACAATTGACTTTCAATAGAACAATGAATAAGTTTGACATATTCATTCAGTGGAATACTTTTTAGCAGTTAAAGTGAAAGAACTTAATCTAAGTGTATCAACATTAGATAGATGTCAAAAACAATGTTGAAGAAAAAGTTATAGAATATATTCAATGTAATGGCATTTATGTAAACATATAAAAGCTTCATTGAGCAAGCATATGATGCTTATAGATATTTGTATACCTAATACAAGTATCGAAATATCAACTGAGAAGGTTACATATAAGATTAGCGATGGTTGTCTAGGAAGATAGGGAGGGGTATGAGACTGGACAGAACAAAGGGGACTTAAACTTCATCTCTATCTTGTCTGTCCATCTCTATCTTAATACATACATTTATTATATTTGTATTAAGTATGAAGTAATAAAGGGCTAGATTATGTGATTGTCAAGGTTCATATCTAACTCAGAAGTGCTTTCATTTTATTTTATATGTTTATTCTTTAAAAGGCTTTTACATGTACTTTTTAGAAATTTGTCAAGTTGTTTGTGATAGGAAAACATAGTCATCCTCTTTAGATACCCCATAGAGCAGTCTGTTTCTGATAGAAGGGGAATATATTAAATCCATAGTATAAAAAATAGTCACATTTTCAATTTCATATTAATTTCTCTAAAAAGCCTTTCTTAAATGGTCCCAGTCTTTCCAAAGAGTTTTTTTTCATGTGGGGACTGAATGTATTTTTTGTCATTTATTCAGTCAGCAGATTTTATGGAACACCTAACGTATGCCAGATGATAATACAGTAGTGAGCAAACCAGAGCCTTTTCTCATGAAGTTTAGTTAAATTCTAGCCAAGGAAGATATCCGGTAAACAGATGAATTAATAAAAATATAAAATGACTGGTGGCTTAAGCGCAATAATGCAAAGTAAAGCAGGGTAAGAGGGATAGAGGTTTTTGTATGAGGACGTCAGGGAAGTACTGTCTGTAAAAGATGATATCAAGCAAAGTCACAAAGGAAATGAACAGATAAGTTATATGGGAGAAGAGTCTCGGCGGCTCACAGAAAAAGCCAGTGGAAAGGCCCTGCCCCTGTCTTGAGAACCCAGTGTGGCAGGAGCTGAATAAGGTAGATTAGTAGGAGATGAAATTATGTAGCAGAGGGCTGGATCATGCAGGGCTTTGTTGGCCATGTTAAAGACTGTGGAGCAAAGACTGTGGGCTCTTCTCTGCTAATGTGGTTTGAGCAGAGAATCACTCTGGCTGCTTTGTTGAGAATAGTGCACAGGATTGTTGGTGATGGGGTAAAGACAGAAGCAGGGAGACCAATTAGATTATTCTTTTTAGTCATTATGAACTTTGCAGTTGAACTTAATTTAGTCATAGTTTGTTCTTTAAAAAATGAAAATTAAAATCTAAGTACAGGTATAAAGTTTTGAGGTTTTTGATTGCATTAACTAAAATGAGATTTAAATGCTGGGTTTTACTTTCTCTGAAGCTTTATACAAAGGCAAATAATCTACTTTTTGACATTTGGCTCTAAAACTTTATGGAAAATAATTTGGTTTGAAACATATTTTACAGATTGTATATAAACTATTTCTGGACTTTTTCATTATTTCATTGCATTTCACTTTATTGTGTTATAACAAAATTCAAATGACAGTTCAGTTATTTTATACTGGCTTCATTTATACTGGGTACATATTAAGAGTTCACTTATATTCAATAGCTCAGTTAAATTGATATATAGTGAGTTTAGCTATGTTATTTATAAATGTATTCTTTTCCTACAATTTTTTACCATATTAATTAATCTTTATTATTGCTTTTATGTCTAGGGAATCCTTTCCCCATGTGTGTGTGTGTCTGTCTGTGTGTCTGTGTGTATGTCTGTGTACAATAAAGAGAGAGCTGGACAATATACTTTATTACAAGTCTTTAGAACTACAGATAATATTACATCATTATGGCTTTTAAATGCTAAACAAATCATTGTCCAGAGTGGCAGGCATACAGTAAAAACTATAATTCAATGTAAATTGTGCTGTATTTCAAAATATAATAGTATACCTGTACTTTTATATATCATTAAAAATTCGTTTATTCAGAACATCTGTTATAATGATACAATGTAACAACAGGTTGACTGTAGCAGTGAATTCAGAAAATAGTCTTTTGCTTTGGGATTGGCTTTAGTACAGTGAATGGGAAATAGATCTTTGTTTTGCTTTGTGAAAAATGCAGTTTTAGGACATGATGCCTAATCTTAATAAGGAGTGTTACTTTTTTTCATATCTGTTTGAGAATATTTCAAAATTTAATAAATTTATCATTCTTAATCTAATTTTTTTTTCTTTCAGCAAAACTGTACAATCTAAAGTGGACTGCATTTTGGTAAGTAAAATAACTAATCTTAAATTTCTTTTGTAATAAGGTTTTACCACTATATAATATATTGTTTTTGAGTAAATATTTATTTTAAATATAACCCAATTTTAGTGAATAAAATTTGATATTTAATTACAACCCTAGGGGTGAACTGGCTGTAAGCTATCTACTTTCCTATATTTCATCAGTAATGAAATCACAATCTGAGGTAATTGCATGTTTTTGAAACTTACTGGCTTTTACTAAAGATCACTTAAACGTTTAGTAAAGTGGATGTTTATTTTTATGTCCTAATAATTCCAAAACATTTGTTTAGAGATAAGATTTAAGATGTTTCATGGATTAGTTTCATTGTGATAGCGTATTTTATTATATTTGAGTTACTAGACCTTAGGAATTAACCATCATAATAGTTTAAATTTAGATTGTACTTACCGAGCTCTAAGAATTTGTTTAAACGAAAGTTTTTAAAATGCTTCTATGGGTTAGTTTTTTTTGCTATAATATACTTTTGATGTTTGAGTTGCTGGCTTTCAGGAATTAAGACACCATAATAGTTTAAATTTAGATTATGTTTGTAGTTCCATAGGTCAGTTCTCTTAAACATGTGAGGAAAGAGGCATGCAGCTACTGACTTCTTTCATGAAATTTCTGCTGATGCAATATTCCCTAGGCTCTAGAACATTCAGTGACTCTACACTGTTATATTCCCCCAAATGTCATTGTATTTAGTTCTCTTTCTCTATTTGTGACATCAGAACTTCCTTATAAATGAACTTTTGGCGGGGGGTGGGGGGGTCTTTAGTGTCTGATGGTGAAATAGTGTTTGATACCTTTTTAGCTAGCTGTTAGCTACCAGATAGGCGAATAAATAGTAGCTCAAAGAAAAGGTAGTTTGATCAGTTCTCCTATTCTTTCTAACCTAATGGTTGAGAAAATGGACTTAGGTGGGATGCTTTCATTTACTCTTTCTTTTATGTTTTTGCCTCACAATAACCATGTGAAATAGGTAATATTGTTATTCTCCTTTTACAAATGAAGAAATGGATGCTTTTGTATTTACTTCAAAAAAGTTATTGAACACCTCCTGTCTGGCAATGCTAGCTATAAAGGTTACAAAATAAAAAAGGTATTTCCTTGCCCTCAAGAAATTCAGTCTGTTGTCAGAATAGATTCAAGTGCTGTTAAGACGTAGGAAGGTTTTGATTGGGATCGTGGTGAATTTATAAATTTCTTTGGGGATAGTTGACATCTTAATGACAAGTCTTCTCCATGAACATGGTATAACTGTGTTAATTGGTTCTATAATTTTTCTTAGCAGTGTTTTTTAGTTTTTTGTGTATAGATTTTGTATATATTTTGCTTAAATATTCCTAAGTATTTTGAGATTTTGGATGCTGTTATGAATGGCATTTAAAAATGTTATCTGTTTTATTGCTAATATTTATATTGACCTTGAAGTCTATAAATTTACTAAGTTCACATATTAGCTCTATTAGCTTATATGGAGAGTCCTTTGGATTTTCTACCTACTCAATCATATTGTACATGAATAAAGAAAAGTTTAATTCCATTTCAATCTGAATGTCTTTTTAATTATTTTTCTCATCTTATTGTACTACTAGGACTTCTAGGACATAGTTGAATAGAAATGATGAGAGTGGATTCCCTTCTCTTGTTAAACTTAGAGGAAAATCATTCATTCTTTCACCTTACAATATGACGTCAGCAATATCTTTTTCATGGATGCTCCTTTCAAGTTGAGCGTGTTCCCTTCTGTTCCTGTTTTGCTAAGGAGTTTTAATCATAAATACGTATTGGATTTTATCAAATTATTTTTCCTCACTTATCAAAATAATCACATGGTACTTCTCCCTGGTTATTAACGTGGTAAATTACACTGATTTTTTTTTAAAAAGTATACCATCCCTGCATTCCCGATGTAAACTCTACATGATGCATTATACTTCCATATATCGCATTATATTTTCACATACTGTTACATTAGGTTTGTAATTTTGTTAAAGTCTCATCGTTAATTAAGGCTTCTGATCTTTCTTGTAATATCTTTTTCTGTTTTTGCTATCAGGGTAATGCTGGCATTAAATAATGACACCTTCTTTCTCTGTTTTCTGAAGGAATTATTTTAAATTAATTGTTTTCTGAAGGAATTATTTTAAATTAATTAATATTTCTTTAAACATTTGATAGATTTCACTGGTGTAACCATCTGTGGAAAAGAATTTATAGGGCTATTAAATTCTGTTTCTTAGTGTAGTTTTGTTATTTGTGTCTTTCAAGGAATTTTTTAATTTCTGCTTTATTACCGAATTTGTTAGGTGTAATATTACCTCATTATTCTTTTTTATTTTATCTTATTATTCAAATATACAGTACGTTGGTTAGACATTTATATAGTTTATTACCTCATTCTTGACTGTATGATCTGTAGCAATTATCTTCCAATCCTGATAATGGCCATTTGAATCTTCTTTGATTTTTCTTGATCAGTTTAGCTAGAGGTTTAATTATTTTATTCTTTCCTAATATAGCAAGTTTTGGCTTCACTGATTTTTTTCTCTTTATGAATTTTCCATTTTTCTCTAATATATATTGTTTATTTTTTTCTGTTTACTTTGGTTTTAATTTACATTCATTTTTGTAGCTCCTAAAATAGGAAACGTTAACCTTTTTTATTATAGCATTTTCATGCTATAAATTTTCCTCTAAGCACTGGTTTAGCTGCATCCCATAAATATTGTTATGTTGTGTTTTCACTGTTTAATTAAATTTTTTTTCTATTTTCCATTTTTATTTATTCTGGTACCCATGGGACCCTTAGTGTATGTTGATCAACTAACCTCCAAGTAGTTGAGTTTGGGTATATCTTAGTGAATATTTCATATGTACTTGAAAAGAATGTATATTATTGTCATTGAATGAAATGTTCTTTATATATCAGGTCTAATTTGTCTTTTTTCAAGACTGATTTCCTTTTTACTTGTTATTTCTATTACTGAGAAGGAGGCTAAAATCTCTTACTTGTGCTCGTGAGGTTTTTTGTTTTGTTTATTTTTGTTCTCTGATCCTGTCAGGTTTTGCTTCATGTATTGAAGCTGTTACTGGAGCACAAACAATATTTCCATTTTTATCACCACTAATATTCTTTGTTTTAAAGCCTACTTTATCTGATATTATCATACCCCCCCCATCTTATAATTAGTGTTTATTTGCATGGTGTGTCTTTTTCCATCTTCTTCTTTTAAGCAATCTGGGTCTTTATAGTTAAAGTGTTTCGTTGTTATTGACATCATACACTATGTCTTTCTTATCTAGTCTGACAAGCTTTATCTTGTAATTACCTGTATATTTGATGTATATATATCATTTTTATATGTCTCTCCTTGTAGTATAAAAGGTCTTTAATTTCCCTTCATTTACAAAGAGTGTTTTTACTGGGGATAGAATTCTAGATAGTTTTTCTTTCAGCATTTTAGCAGTGGTGATCCATTTCTTCTGGCTTGCATGGCCTCCATTGAGAAGTTTGTAGTCATTCATATCTTGTTTCCTTATATAGACAGCAATACCCTCTTACTGGTGGTTTTGCTTTCTGCATTTCAGTAACCTGAGGTCTGAAAAAATATTAAATTGAAAATTCCAGAAATAAACAATTCATGTTTTAAATTGTGTGTCATTCTGAGTAGCGTGATGAAATTTCTTGTGGTCTTGGTCTGTCCTGCTCAAGACATGAATCATCCCTTTTTCCAGCATATCTACCCTGTATAGGCTGCCTGCTTATTTGTCACTTAATAGCCATATTAGTTATCATAGTAACTGTCGTGATATTGCAGTGCTTATGTTCAAGTAACCCTTATTTTTACCTAATAACGGCCCCAAAGAACGAGAGTAGTAATGCTGGCAATTTGGATATGCCAAAGAGAAGTCGTAAAGTACTTCCTTTAAGTGACAGGGGTGAGTACAGCACAATAAGATCTTTTGAGGGAGAGAGAGACCAGATTAAGATAGCTTTTATTATAGTATATTGTTATAATTTTTCTATTTTATTATCAGTTATTGTTGATAATCTCTTATTGTGCTCAATTTATAAATTAAACTTCATCATAGGTATGCATGTATAGTGAAAAATGTAGTATGTATAGGGTTCAGTACTATCCACAGTTTTCAGGCATCCACGGGGGATCTTGAAATGTGTCCTCTGCAGAAAAGGGGGGACTGCTGTATGAATTCATTTTTTTTCTCCTCTGGCTCTTTTAAAGATTATTTAGTAGTAGTTTTCAGAAATTTTATTATAATAACCTTAATATATTTTTGTTGTTATTTTTGTCCTGCTTGTGGTTTATTAAGTTTCCTCAAACATGTGGATTCATGTTTTTTTAATCAGTTTTTACAAATTTCCAGCCATTCAGAACTTTTTCACTCCCTTTCTCTTCATCCTGGGACTCAAACTGTGCATATGTTACACTTCTCAGTATTTTCCCACAGGTTGCTAAGGCTATGTTTATTTCTCTTTTTGCTTAATGTAGGATATTTTATGTTTATCACATTTCTAATCTTTTCTGCTAGAGTATCTTATCTATAAATCCCATTCTGTAAATTATCCATATTAGATTTTTTTTTTTTTTTTTCAGTTTCTAGAAACTCCACCTGGTTCTTTTTTTATATCCTCCATTTTTCTCCTTATTAAATCCTTGGGTATGATTATAATACCTACTTTAAAGTCCTTGTTTGCTATTTATATTATTTCTGAGTCTTTTTATTTACTGATATTTTTGTCACAATTACAAGTCATGTTTTTCTGCTTCTTTGCATATCTAGTAGTTTTTAATTTAGTGTTTGTTTGTTTAGAGTGAGTGGACTTTATTCTTTTTCTTTAAAGTGTATGGATGATTTCTTGGGCTGCAGCTAATTACTTGTAGATTGGTTTGATCCTTTTGAGACTTTGTTTAAGCCTTGTTGGGGCAAGAATGGCATTTACTGTAGAGTTA